AAACCATCCGCTCACCACGAGCTCCCTCCTTTGCGAAAAAGAATGAATTGGTGTTGCTTTCGGGGTAAATTGCCAGCACCACGATGCCCCAATCCTCCCCCCCCCCTCCTACATACACATGAACCGTCAAACGGTTTCCTCGATTTCGGAAAACGAGGAGAGCGTCGAGTGCAGATCACACACAAGTTACGACGGCCAAGAGAAAGAAAAGAAAGCCATTTTCTTGGCCGTCGTCACTTGTGGTGTGTGGTCTGCACTCGACGCTCTTCTCGTTTTCCGAAATAGAGGGTACTTCGTTATGGTTCTGTCCCGAAGCCGTCTCAGGCTGATTTGAATGTGTGAAAAACAGTCAGAGACACCAAACCATTGGAGCTAAAAAATTCTCACAACAGTTGTGGAAGTGCTGAAAAAGCGTTCAGACATTGAAAACTTCTTGGAAAGCTTTGGAGCGTAGCGCTTGTTCTCGTCAAAAAGGCCCTGACTTTTGAAAAGCTTTTCTATTCTTTTAAACTTCTTTTCAAAGTTTTCTGAGGCCTCATCCAGTAAGAGGGGGCATGCAAAGCGACAGTCGCTGCCGCCTTCAGAAATTCCAATTTTATAGGAAAGGGTCTCCAGGGTGCGTGAATCATTCCCTTTTCCCCAGAGCTTCTTTCCCTCACGAAAAGTTCAATTGCTTCAGGCGCTATGAAATGTCGCATCACATGTCCCTATTGCATGAGACCGTTTTCGAGTATTCTGCAATATTTTGAAGTCTCATATTGTTTTTCACACTTTCAGGTTTTTTGCAGTCAAGCTCCTTATATGGAATTTTAGAAACCTTCACTCTTACTGGCTTGCAGATTTACAAATTTGATGATTTTGTCGCGAATTTACAGTTCATCACTGCCACTACCCCACCCCTGCCCGTTATCACGGTAACCCTAGTGGAAACCAATGTGTTCATTTTCATAGGTATTCATCACATTCTTCGATCAACTCAAACTAAATGTTCGGGCTGTGGATGAACTTTTCCCGAATCTAAACGAGCTTTATACGTCAATAAATGCGATGAGTAGCTTACCGGAAGATTTCGATGGACGTGCGAAAGTGAAAGCATGGTAAGCTTGGTAGTACTCTTTTTTGCTGCAATTACTGAATTATACCTTTTTAGGAATGACCCTTTACAATCGGAGCATACTCTGCAAGTAAATTACTGTATGAAGAAGCTAGTAATTAATTTCGACGGCAGTGCTTGAAGCGCATATTGTCTTATCAAATTTCTACACACTCAACAACAGTATAACCTTGTTTATTCTATGATTTATGTAAATAAAAATAATCAGTTATAAGGTGAAAAAGGTGAACTTCCCGCCAAGTGTGAAAATATGGATGCGAATCGTGATCAAATTGGATTATAGTGTGGTTCTAAGACAGGGCAAGGTGTCCACGGAATTATAGCGGGTAGTATTTATGACGTCAAGGGGAGAGTTCAAAGTTGTAAGCGTATGGGTTTGCACGGCAGAGCTTTTCAGAAAGGGAGAAGAGAAGCGGAAAGTCCTAAAAACGTTGCGATCCTTTAGTGCGCTCTGCAGTTGTTGCTGTGTGGACAGTACTACTAAAATGCGTCTACGATTACGATGGAAGTTGAAGACATGCGCGCAATCTAAGGAACTAACGATAACGCTTCAGCTCTGCCAGTTTCCGTTCGAGTTGACCCAAGCATCATTTTTAGAGGTAATTTGTAATTCTTCGGAAGGAATTTAATGACAGATCACTATTTTCGCGTCAGTTTTTGAATATGAAATTCATACAAAGAACTTTAAACTAATTTAAAAGCCAAAAATTTTGCAGGTTTCTAACCTTCTTTTCATTTTGAATTTTCTTGAGAAAGACAATGACCGCTATCTGACTAGAAGAGAGCTCTCTGTGCTATTTCCCACCACGGAACCATCGATGCTTTTCCCCAGTCTAAATACAACGGCGTTCACGGCAACAGAAGTCAACTGTCGTGTCGCGCAAGTTCTCGAACGGCACGCAGTTTCCCCTGATTAAGAATACGTTCTCTCGCAGCGGAGCATACACTCGCCATCCGACCGGCTGCGTCTCCGCACATTACAAGGGCCTGCGTAGACTCTCAACGTGCGCGTTGCCGAAACTGCGCCAGCGAGGGTTGACTCTGCGCGCAGATAGTAAGCTAAATCTCTGGGTTCCGATTTTCCATTGGAAGAGGCTTAATTTCCCTTTCTCAATAGTCAATTTATCCATTTATGCAATCTGTTGTGCCGCTCGCCTTTGATATAGGGCGTTGGAGGGGGGGGGTGGAACAAAACTCGTTAAATGCCAAGAACAAGCTCTGCCAGGTACTGCAGGTTCTATCAACATATCTTTTAGAATTATAGAAGTATAAAGATCAACGTGTCGAAAATTTCGGCATTAGAGTTCTAAACAGTTTATTTCTGTAGCAAGAAAGTTTGATAGCATTCAAAATTGACAGTTTTTCAGCGCCCATCTCATTATGCAAGAACTTGCAAGTTACTTCGCAGGAAAATTTCAGAATGCAAAACAAAACAATTTATAATTATAACTAATTTTAGAATGAAAACGTTAAAACTCGCATGTCCACAAAAGTTCCCAGTTTCTCATTATGCAGCATGAGCTGGGACTTTTTCAGGAAACACCAGTCGATTATTCTCCAAATCTTCTTTTCGCCTTGTAATTGCCTTTCTGAAGAAAAGTGCGGCCGCTTGAGGATTGATATGATTTTTAACTTCTGGTCTGCCACATGACGCGCCTTGTGATGCGGTATTCGAGCTGCAGCAGCGAGCACAAACATTCTTCGCTTTCTTCGGGCATACAAGCGACTGGACAAAGCTGCTCGGGTTGAAGGAAATGGTAGTCGTACTCAGAGATTCTCGACGCCATACTTGACCCTGGCGGGACACGAGGATTGCAGCGTTGCACGTACGTCTCGCGTTGTATAGTGTAGCTGCCAGGATGGGGCCGTTTGCAGCAGTTTTCGGCTGGAGATGGATTCCTTAAATTCCGTGTTTCTGCTCGGGTCGATGACACGTCCCATGGTGAAGATGAGGATGAATCCAGAGACGCCAAGAACTGCTGCGTACGGCCCCAGGCCATAGTGAAGAGAAGTCACTGCGCTGTCAAGCACGCGGTGACTTCTCCTGTGGCCGCTGCCCTCCGCGCGGCGCAGCGATTTCCTTGTATAGACTTTACTTGTACGTTTAGATTTGGTCACATTGCCCTTTACGGTCCTAGCTGAAGGAAGCGAGGCGATTGCTTTGCGACTGGTGAACAGCGTCAACCGTAAGCTGGCCCAAGTCCAACGAGTGGGGGTCATATTTGTGATTGTGGCAGCGGGGTCGTAAATCTTTCAAAAAAAGGGCCAACGCTATTGTTGACTCTGTTGCTGACTGGCCCGCGATCACCAACAGTGTCAACCGACCAAATGCTAGCACTGGCATGAATTGCACACATTCAAATAAAAGGTCAGCAGACCTACAGTTAAATTCAGTTAGTTGTACATGTGTTTATAGTTTCATCAGAGCGTATTTGTGTTTTCGGCTGACCCTTGAGATCACCACTCTTCCATCGTAGGATAATGAGGCGAACGTCCATGGATCAGCTGCCGCCCAAACACAGGCATACCTGGAAGTGCGAGCTTAATGCGATCAAAGATTCGCCGAGTAATCCTCAGGAAAATACTTGCAGCGGGAGAATTTCAAGGCTTTCTTCCTCCTAAGTCCGAGATATCACGCTCGAAAAGAAATATCTGTACAGTTCAAAAAGCAAACCTCAGACTGGATTTATTAGAACGATAAATCTTTTGAAAATTAATGAAAAAAGGTACATGGTTGCATAGCGTCTAATTATTAAACTGCCATGTTTGGTAATTTTTCTCTTTCCTGAGTTTTTCTCGACCGTTCACGGTCATTAACAGCAGCGTGAATTTGACGGGTAGTGGGCGGAGTGGTTTTAGTGACGTCACTAAACGTGATTGGTAGGGAGGAGCTGGGAGGTGATCCCAACCCTGTTCTCCAGCGCGCTGAGGGGTCTGATTCACCACTGACGTCATCAATCGTTCCATCCTTAGCCATCATGTTCAGTGCCTTTAAGGTCTGTGGAGCAGTGTGAGCCACTGTCGAAGATATTATTTGACCAACACACCCCTCCCCACTCTCTTTATGGACTTCCTACGCTCACCTCCCCCATCTTGTGATAGCCGATAGTGCCAAAAGCTTCTTTTCACCTGGTACTACGTGACACACTTCTAACTCCGCCCCTGATTCCAAACGAGGGTGCGTCGAGCGAAGAAGGGAGGAGGGTGGGAGGGGGAGGGGGATTGGCGGTATATTCAACTGCTGGAACAATTTGTCAGCAAATTTCACACATTTCACGCCGCTGTCTTCGTACAAATCGCTATTTGACACTGTCCTCAATTACTTAGCGTGTGCTCCCTCCTCTCACCATAACAAAAGAAACCCTTCCTGAAATCTTCGATTGTGGCTCACCCCGAGCACGAAGTCTCAAAATTGATATATTAAAAACGTACACGGACTCTCGTGCGTCCATCCTCGAGTTTGTCAACTTCGTCATCTTCTGCTGCATCATCTAGACCCATATCGCCCACTTCACTGCTTGCGGAAAGAACACATGACAGAACGACCGTGGCGTCGCTACCAGCTGATAAAATCAGCTGATCGTGGACGGGATGGAACCCGAACTAAAAAACACATTAATAAGCCAACGTATATTGGCGCTTTTGGCCAGGTCATTAAGATGTGACCAAAGGCGTGCGCGGCAACTTCATCTGGCATGGGGGACCTTTATAGTCATCATAACATCGCGCACAGCATTAGATACGTATCGATCTTCCGATCCGGTCGGACGATCGATACGTATCTAAGGTGGTGTGCTTTATACTTCGCGCGCCGCGCTTGCTCACCGTACGCGACGCGGACTATGTGCAACTAACTGCACGGCATATCATATTGACCAATTGCGACGAAGTTTTATCGCGCGTAGTGAAAGGTGTGAGGTAGTTTAACGCAGCAATATTTTAGGATGCCACTCGTTTCGATCTGTGCTACTGGACTGAGACGAGCACCAATCCGAATGGACGTAACGACAAGATTGAGGACTCTATGTCGCGAATGCCTCTCAGTGTCCCTTTTGCCGCTTTCATAGCAACACCTACAAGAACCACAGATATCAAAATTCACCACACACCAGGGGCGGGGTGCAGCAAGCTCCAACTAGGGAATGGGCTCAACTAGGGGATGGGTCCTCAAAACTCTGCTGCGTCTTTGGATCATCTCTGGACGCTTCCCCTGTTCTTGACCATGAGAGTTGCGTCATCGATCAGAGCAGAGACGTGATTTCGTTCACCCATCCTCGAATTGCCTTACTGCACCCAGCCCCAGAATCTTGCTGCCATTCGTCTCGGTCTCCGGACATCTGTCAACCGTGAGGCTAGGCAATTCAGCGTTTTGTTGTGCTGTCTGGGAGCTCTCACACAAGCGCACTATTACAGAATCTCCGCTTTCTTTACCTCCTTTCAAAAGGCTTAGTCCCACTACCACAAAGAACGTCTGCTTTCCTTCTACACTCTCACCCCCTGGTTGACAGAAGCCTTTGTAACCAACGCGTCTGACAATAAGGGCGTAATTGCAAGCCTTCACAGGTGTCATCGCTGCAGATAGCGCGATCGCACACCTATCAGAATTCTCTTGTGATCCATTACTACTCGATTTGAACATTACCTGCCAAGCCCAGTGTGCATGCGGAGTCACAGTCACCAGTGCGACGTTGGGATTCCGCCAATCCCACAACCGGACGGCACCGTCATCGCCACAGGAGGCTACGCTAAACGGGTAATAAATAATAACAATAAACAACACAGAAGAGCAGAAAATCACCAAAAGCACTAACATATGTTGCAAATTTGGGTTGAAATCCAGGTGTAACGCACGATGAGCGATGAGCATCTTTGATTCGTAGTGACTCCCTGAAATAGCTTCACAAACAGGTGAGACCTTCTAGACATTGAATAGTAGGGGCTTGAAAAAAGCCAAAGGTGGGATGACTGCTTCATCAAGACACAAACTAAATACTCAGGCACACAAAAGGAAATCCTTGGAAATTCTATTCCATATTGATTTGACTCCTTTAGTGATTCGTTGACAGAAAGGCAATTAGGCGCCACGATGAGAGGAGTACCAATGGCGCCCAGGCCAGGGCCTACTTCACAGAGTCCTTCTTAGAAGTTGTTTCAAGAATAAGTGATTTCCCACCTGCACATGGCACACATAATTAATAGGTAGTAGAGACTGTCCCTTCCACATCAGCGGAGTCAGCTCACAGAAACGACGGTATAGCAGTCAGTCTGATAACTGCTATACTGTGGTTTAGTAGCGTCTCGGAGGTCTTGTAGGGTAGAACATTTGGTCGGATAGGTCGTGAGTTTTTCCACATTTTCAGGCTCCGAATGAAGGCGAAATCGCCGGAACTTTAGCCAACGGAATCATAATCAACCTCATGTGCTGTTGACTCAAATAAATTAGTACTGTAAGTATGCCGAGGTTTATCGGCAGTCTAGTAGGCGATACTTGTTCAGTTATATTATTGGCGGAGTTTTGAATATATGAAAATAAAAAATAATAAAAAAAAAAAAAAAAAAAAAAAAAAAAAAAAAAAAAAAAAAAAAAAAAAAAAAAAAAAAAAAAAAAAAAAAAAAAAAAAAAAAAAAAAAAAAAAAAAAAAAAAAAAAAAAAAAAAAAAAAAAAAAAAAAAAAAAAAAAAAAAAAAAAAAAAACCAAAAACAAAACAGCGAACTGTCGTCACCGCGTTAAAAGACCTTGCTGTACATTTTCAGACCCAGGGTAAGTGAAGTAAATGTGTATTCAGGTGAGACAGTTTCTCCGAGTCGAAGCAGAGACCATGATGTATCACAAACGTTAATGTTAAGTTTTATAGGGACGCTTTGGGCAAAATTTTTGCCCCACGCGGACTCTGAACCCTCACTCGCTTATCGGCGGAGTGTCCTTTCCTTCATACTTCTAAGTCATCCCCGTTTCAAGTTTAACTAAGTTCGTGGTTATTTACCAAGCCTTACGCACCGGAAACATACGTAGTAAGTAGTTAGCCGACACTCGGCTCAGTGAACCGCGAGCTGAGAGCTTTAGCAATTAATTTTGACTTGTTTCAATACTATTACAACCAATTTTGCAGCGCACGCATTCTCGTTCATCAAACGGGACTGCAGCGGTATGAAACTGGTAATCGATATTAGAATTTTCGTAGCAAGCTCCGTCCACCTCAATATACGCTCCCCCCCCCCCATCACATTTAACCTTTCGCCTTTCGACACCTATGTCCACTTTTTTCCGGTTTTCTACTGCTCTACAACCGAACTTGGAACTTTTGCCACCAGCACGGCCCGATTCGACGCGCGTCCCGCCCACTGTGGGCGGAGCTCCGTCCAGCTATGTGTTTGCGCCTTCTTGACCTTGTTCATAAACCAGCAACTTTGATGGAAACTTTTTCGGCAAGCGAGAGCTGCGACCCAAAGCCCCAGCCATAATCAATACAAAACGAGAGTTATATAGAGGATTTCTTTTCAAGAAATTTGGTAAGGAAAAAGGAGAGTTAGAAATTGCGATGACGCGGTACCTGCAAGGCGGCTGAAGATGTTTACTAGGCTGACAGTGCATGCCCATTTCGCAAAGTAAGGTTGGCAAATATGCACTAGCCTTACCAGTCGCTACGTAAAATCGTGACAGATAATGTCTTTATCGATAGCCAAGCCGAGCAGGTTGCCACCGCTGTGAGGATTCCACGTTTGTGCATGTGCTGTGCCGTTCAGCGAACGTTTTTCCTTCACCTGAATTCTCACAATCGGTCGACAATTCGTTAAAAAAAAGAAATCAAAAAAACTGAAAATTGGTGAAAATGCGCCGTGCACTTGTCTTTTGCTCAGCGTCACAAAAGCATATGAAAACCCTGTTTACTTTGCTTTGGTATTGTGGATACCCGCCCATTCCAGTAGGATCGTGTTCATGAAAGGTGAGGCTTACGAATCTTGATATAGTCACATTCAAACTTCATTTTTTCAACGCGTTTGTCATTTCCGCGGACCATCTCGTTTGAGATATCAAAGATCGTCTCTCGAAGAGACATAAAACGATCGGCGCTTCCCAAAGCCCTTTAGTTTTCGCTCAACTCAGGTTCTCTACCTCGACACCTTCCTCCTAGACCTCAACTAACGGTAATACCGCCGCGTGTCCTGCCCCGGCCCCTGCGCTTACGACTCCTTTCCATGGACCAAATTACAATCCACTCGTTGGTGAATTACCCACACGGTTGAAACTGTGGAGAAGTGTTGTATACGGCATCATACAGTCGGTATCTCGAACTCTGATTGGGCGTGTCACCGGAAATGACGTGGCAGCCATCGCACTTGCTAGATGCCACGTGGATAAGATACTCCGCCAGATATCAGCGAAGCATGCTGGAAGCAGCTTATCCGCGCAATTTCTATCAAGTGCGGTGGCTGCCACGTCATTTCCGGTGACACGCCCAATCAGACTTCGAGATATGGACTGTACATACCCTCGCCTTCAAATGACCAGAAATTGTGCAATTGCAGAAATTGACGTGGCATTAACGTGGCATCGATTCAAGAACATCTTTGAGCACACGTGATGTCACCTTTTCATCGAGAATTTAGCCACGTGTGCCAATGCCACGTCAATTTCTGCAATTGCACAATTTCTGCTCATTTGAAGGCGAGGGTACAACTAAAGCTCACTTGTCGATAAAATACTATACAATTGATTTTTGTTTAACAAAGAAGGTCTTTCAGGGTGTGCCAAGCTCTTCAAAACGGTCTTTTGTATGAGATAGAGCGGACATGTCGGCGCGACACCAGATACCCCATGTATTAATTTTCACTGGAACGGCCGCTCTGAATTCCCACCAAAATGGCGGGCCGTAGTCGCACTTTCGAACCAGAAACCCATGAGTGTGCACGTGCAAGGAAACCATTTTGAAAAAGCTTTGAGCACACCCTGAACGACTCTCCTGATAACGGCAGCAGAGATGTCTGATTGTTCCCCTGACTACCGTTTCATGAACTTCTGTACTTCGGGTCCATGGTTCTCTAGAAATCCACGCGATCCAGTCAGAAGATCAGCAGCCATGTGCTGACTGTCTTTTCCCACTCAGAACAGAACACTTCCGACCAAATCCAATGTACAGAGACAAAATTCCGCTCGCCTTTGAATAATCCTCTTGTCACAAAACTCGTGATCTCACAAATTCTTGCTACATGCGCTAACAGCTACACGCTTAACTCGTCAACTGTACTGCCCACATTAACAACTGTTCTCCTGGTCTTTCCATAGTCTCTGCTTCATGGTTGTCGGAGGGAAGACTCTCTAGGGTCCCAACAGTATCAGATCAAAACAGACAGAGTACTCTTAGGCGCAGCAAGTTACGAGATGAAGAATCGAATAATCCTATACTCCGGACAAGCCAACAATAGAGATGAATGCGAACAGATGGCTATGTCTTCAGGGTAACTCGAGACGTACCGAGAACAGAATTCACCGACAAGGATTTGAATTAAAGAGAGATCAGGATAGATCCGCGCGTAATTTAGAGAATAAACGAGAGAAGAAAATTCAAATCGATGTTGTGAAGATTACACCTGTACTACAAACTGCATAGCTGCAGCTCAACTTACCTTCAGACCTTCTTCTGATTGAAAAATCTGCACTGAGGATCGGAAAAGAGAAGAAGCGAGCCCACTCTCTGTTGGTCCCATTCGTAGCTAAACGTGTAAAAAGTTACCAAAAAGAGCTAGCCAGGTAACATTTTCAGAAGTTTCTCTGTTCTCGTTATCATTATATCCTTTCCGCTTGGTATGCAAAACACTAACAACCTGCATTTTCTAAATTCACCCTATTCTCAGATTTGTCGCCAATGCCAGCTGACCGTTTTCGACTATTCTCTAACACTTACTTCGATGACAATTATTCAAAGATTTTAGGGTATTCAGTCTCAATAAACTACCTCAGCGGACAATCGTCGATGGCAGCAGAAGCCAATTCCTTCAGTGCTCCTTTGCTGCTGTCCATTTGCCATAAATGAATGCCGAATGTGGCTGGCGATCCATGAACTTTAATTGTAATGTGATTTAATTGTTCTTTGAATAGTGGTACGGCTGCATAGATGATAAAATGAATACTCCAGTCTGATACACTACGTATTATTCACTCCGGCGCCATTGTACAGCGTCACGATGTACTAGTGCCAGTTGGCTCTTTTTTTTTTATCTGACTATCATTTTTAAGGGGAGGCAGTCATTGTAGATCGATCATCACGATAATCTAAGGCTGGTGTCAGAGCCCGCGATTCGTCGCGCGATTCCCGCGAGTCGCGCGACGGATGGCAGAAATCGAAGTGCAGCTACCAATACTGCGAAGTGCTCTCCAATTTCGCCGCCATTCCTGCTTGATAGTGAAAATTGAATGACGACTGTTCACGATTCTACTTGTTTCATATTCAGTGTTTCAAATGCTCAAATGGGCAATTGCGATTCTTGCGATTCGCGCGAATCGCGCGACAAATCGCGGACTCTAACACCAGCCTAATGGTTCATTGATCAGGCCGAAATATGGGCAGTGCCTGGGTGGGAACCACAGCCTATGCGGGCAATGTGACCCCGCCGTGACCTCTTCTCATTCCGATTCCTCACCAAGGCGAAGCTCTCTGCAAAGCTGCGTCAAGATCTGATCCCACATCCCTGTCTTCTCTCTTCTGTACCTACGTACTTCTCGTGTCTTACCATATGCCCTTCGTATTTCTGTATTGCTCAAACAGTCAAATTTTGAAGGCAGTCGAATGATTTGGCAGCTTCCACGGCATTCTGTCGCCTACTCCCTCCACAAGTTTCCAGTTCTGAAAAAACCTTACCTCTGCAGTCGCGCACCCAGCAACCTTACCTACACGAGGGAGGGCCTTACTCAGTGATTTAGCTGGGTAATGTGCCTTCAAATAGCAATCCTGCTGTACAAGTGGGGTCCATATAGGCATCGTAGACATGGAGCACATCGGTCTAAATTCTCTACAAAACCATATATCGAATACCAACTACGGTTTTTCCATGTAGGCATAGCATTGATTGGACAGCATACACAATGTCACCCCGTACCGCAGAGAGGCTTATAAAGAAGGGCAAGGTTATGCTTAGCGCGAATGATAACACCCTCTATTTCAGAAAACGAGAAGAGCATCGAGTGCAGACCACACACCACAAGTTACGACGGCCAAGAAAAAGAAAAGAAAAGCCACTTTTTCTTGGCCGTCGTCACTTGTGGTGTGTGGTCTGCACTCTGACGCTCTTCCCCCTTTTCCGAAATAGGGGGTACTTGACCTCCCACCCCCGTACTTTTACAAATTCTTAAATTCACTTACAATTTGCAGCAGCTGAAGCCACAATGTCGGCACTGGATGGTGAGGCAGCCAAGCCACGTACCTCTCCAACTGTGTGCGGAAATGACAATGACGAGATCCGAGAGTACTCGCCATCCAGCGATAGGCGACATATCTGCGGTAGAACTCCATTTGAACGGATATTGCTACTCAATGACCCACCCATTGTCACCTACCTGATTATCCATCTTGATGTTGTGGGTTCCAATGAGCAAGCTGACGACATCCTCTTCGGCTGGCAGATTCGACAGATATCGAGACTCCAAGTCCAGCCCAAACATCAGACATTCTCCCATACTGAAATAAAAAGGCATAACAGTCACAAGAGTGAACCCCATTTAGCGCGTCAACATTCGCGCACGTGGGTGGAAGCAGGGTCAACCGTCCGTTGGACAAAGTCCAGAACGGTGGGGAGGGGTCGTATTTGGGGTGGAAAAGGGGGGTCGTATTTCGCGAGGTAGCGTTAATGTTACAGTAAGGGAAGTGATGATGCAGTTGGTTGGCGCGCTAAAATTTTGCCGTTTCACGGTGTGTATATGCCCCCCCCCCCTTAGAAAATGTTGCAGTGGAAAATGGGTGAAATAGAGGGAAAGTGAGAGGATGTTTGCGGTTTCGTGGTAGGTATATACCCCCGCTCGACGGCAATTTTGGAGGAAAAAAGTGGGCGGAGTTTGGGCTGTGTCGACTGGTCTCAGAATCGAATACTATAGAATGAGCCCCATGATGGCGATGGCAGGCGAGGGTGGTGAAGGGTTGACCCTGAGGGGGGGGGGTTCGTATC